TTTTTTGTTACGCGTNCGACGTACGAACTTCCTCGCTCAATAGACGATACAACCAATGCGCTTTGTTGCGATTCAGCACGTATACGTTGGTTCTAGCGGATATCGGTTGCTGTTGGAAAATAGCATCGCTGAGCAATCGCGACTGCTCGTATATGTTGCCGTCGGTCCATCGTAATCCGTGACATCGCTGACTTATCCAGAAACTCTCGATCTGCCAATCGGCGATATCATGCTCCACGGCATTGGACTGGCGAACAAAAAATGCAAGGCTAGTTGATTCGCTCGTAGCACGGTAGCCTCCTTTACCGTAAAGGTTCCCTGCGGATCGAAGGTGTAACCTTGCACGTCCACAAACACCGGCGTTTCGTTGACCTGCAGACGGGAGAAAAAAAGTTATTTCGTAGACAAAAGTAAAAAAATTTATTTCTGACTGTAAAACGGTAACAAAATCAATCGCTCACCGTATACAAAGGCCGTTCTATCGACCATTGTTGTTCGTTCGTCTGTTGATTGTTCATAGTGTGCGTGCGTGCGTGTATGTGCTTCTCGATGCTCCTTTTCTGGCCGATCGGTCGATACAGTTTGAAATTCGTCCACTTTCGTGCCGGTTAAATAGCTCAGACAGGGCGATCGTATCGGCTTTCGCGTCGTGCGAAAAAGAAACAGATAAAGAAACGATATCGTTGTTTTGCATCGCAGCAATCTTATCGCTGGGTTTTTTTTCGGCCACTCGACCAAATGACGACTTTATCGCGCGCGTATCAACCGTTTCCGCGATCACGATTGTTGCGATCGCGCACGAATGTGAGTGCGCAATGGATGGACGCATTTTTCTCATTCTTAGCGGCGGAACCACGCTCGGCTGTGATGTCGCTGGCATTTTCGCTGAGCTTCATGCGAACATATGACGCGGCGCCAAATGTCGCGAATGAAAATTTTGCATCAATGTCCTTTGATGCGGCGCGCGAACTGTTCGATCTACTGGACGACAACATTCACGCCACCGACACGTTCACTTTGTCAGAGTTGCGCGATCGTCGAGCGTACGATGCGCGCGATTTTCTGCACGCGAACGACGTGTACGCCGATCGTTTCGACATTGTGTTCGTACCGTTAATGCGGCACCGTGCGTTATTGTCGCCCGTTGCTCGATCCACCCCCGCCCCCACGAACGACGATTCGTCGATGTCGGTCGACTCGTTGCGCTCCGACATCAAGACCGTTCGAGCTGTATTGGTCGCGTTGAACGAACGCTCGGTCGAGACCGGTGTGCCGATCCCGTTGAACGTTCGATGCACCGCGATCACACGGTGGATAAGCGTCGGCGCGTTGGATAGAACGCTCACCCAGCTAATCGAACAAGACGATGATCATCGCGCCGCGGAGACACTCGTGCGCGAGACATTGCTCGAGACCGTACAGAGCGATCTAGCGGAAATTAACGATCGGTCATCGTTCTCGTATCTCGAGGCGTACGCCGCTTACGCTCCTATAGTGTACCGTTACGAATCGCTGAGCGATATGATTCAGGCGTGGAACACTCGACATTGCGCGCGACACAATAATCGCGATGTTACCATGGAGAGCGCGAACGATGAGAGAATTATTCACTGGCTCGTGCTACCGGTACGTGGTGTTTGGCAAAGCGGCACGTTTCAGATGCTGTGGATCGTGTTGCACACGTTGACGGCACTGACCGTTCAACGACAAAATCGATACATCGATCGTATGCTCGCGGTGCTCGAGAATTTATCGTTTTACGTATGGTGCGCCGAATGCTCGGTGCATTGGCGCGAGAACCATGGCAATCGATACTTTCGCGAGACCGGATCGCTATCGTACGCGAAATTGCGCCGATTACCCATCGATCTGCTGCTGCTGCACTGCCACAATACGGTGCATGAGAATTCCACGAGAATCGTCGGTGCTAGAAGCAACGGCGGTGGACTATCTAGGTGGACTTTGGCGCATTTGTGCCTGGATTATCGAGATTTTGCGGCGGTATCGCCGTTACGACGAGGCGACTGTTCCTCGGCGCGAATTTTTCGTCTGAAGGTTTGCCGGCCCATGGCAAACGCCATCGCACGAGCAACAGCAAGCACAACGAGTCGCGGTGGCCACCGAGAACTCGCAAAATCCGACGACGACGCTCTGTTGACCGACTGCTTGACAGTGACATCCATTATCATCGACGCGAGCGCAGTCAACAAGAGGATCGATTCTGTCTCGCTGACTCTCGACGCGTTGCGCGACTATCACGGCGACGCGCTATTGCGTAGACTCTGGTACGATATCGATCCATCGATGACCGTGCCAATGTGTTGCTCGGTATGGTGAACGTGACGATTCGCTGCGACTATCATCGTGGGATTTGCGGTCATTGACACACACGAGAGATAGAGAGAGAGAGTTAACGTTACGTGACGCCGCTATCGTGACATTCGCATCCTTTTTTTTGTTTCGACGACGATCGTTTACGAGCACGTCCGTAACGTGATTTATGTTTTTTTTCTGTTCTTTGGTTACAATGAACAAAGAGAAACGCTCGACCACGAGCGAGAACGCCGGTCGGAGCGCGATGCATGGTGATTCTCGCGTCGAATTGCTGTGCGGTCGATTCTTCGCTCTCGAGAATCACGTATTGTACTCGCCGAGACTGGCCGCAGTGGTAGCGCCACGATCCAACGATTCAATTGACGAGAACCGCATGCAGATCGCGTTGCGCGCCTTGTTTGACGATTATCAGCATTTCTTGAATTTTATCCGAGAGCTCGAATGTAAACACACCGCGGGCTCGTTTCGCACCGAGACGAGACAATTGCGCGCAAACGACGAAGCGGCCACACGTTTCGTTATTTGCAACGAATGCGACAAGATTGTACGTCGATACTGATTGCGCCAAAGGAAGGCGGGGAGGGGATTGACTAGGTTGCCAATAATAAAAAAAAGAGCAGAATAATCACAGTATAAACATTTCTTTTATTGTACATCCTTCCCTAGATATCACATCCCGACGAAAATGTAGCGACAATGTAGCCGCGAGCCAAAATGTACGATTTCTCAGGATCGTACTTTACATGAGCTATTTGCACCAGCGCTAAAACACCGCCCGGATCGCTGGCTGTGTTGGGCGGTCCGCCTCTGCCCAGACCGGTTGACTTTCCATGATGATGAGATTGACCAGAGCCCAATAATCCGGTCGCAGCACCGTACATGTCGTTCTTCGCCATGTCGTCCTGGCGCATAGTCTCTATGACGTCGCTCGGCAGAGCACGCAGCGCGTTGAATTCGGCGCAGTTTTGCGGAATGGACAGATTGAAGAATACGCGCAATTGTCGCGGCAACGGTTTACCGCGAAATATCTTGTCGCGCACATAACGGCGCACCAATTCGTTCAGGTGACCGAAGCGATCCTCATAGGTGGGAAATTTGAGACCTCGCGGAAGACGTCGAGCTATCGAAATCAGATAGAGTCCGTTCAGATAGGCGGTGCCCTGGACGAAACGCATATAGCGAATGCGCGTCGTTGCGTACTCGCTGTGTCTCAGCGAATCCAGCACAAAGTTCAGCGCGGTGAAACCCTCTTGCTGCAATTCCGGACCGAAGCGACAGTTTACCGTTCGCGCCATGCGAACGAGAAATCCGCGAACCGCGCAATCCAAGTTGCCGATCAGACACATCAGATGCGCGTCGGATTTACCGGCTTCCTCCTCGCAGCACGAAGCGTCATCGTCGCGCAATTGACTCGCTCGCTCCACGTTCTTCGTAATATCCGTAGCGGCGGCGACGACCTTGTTCGTCTCGTCCGTCATTTGTGCATTCGTCACGATCATCGGTGTGTTGTCGGAGTGGCGCGAATACTCGTCGTCGTATCGGGCAGTCAGTTCTTTGAACGCGTTGGACGAAACATTCAAGTCCACAGCTCGCTTCTTCGCCAGGCGGCACAACCGCCACATGCACCAGAGCGTCTCGTCGATGGCGTCGCGTAGTTTCTCCTTCTCGTCCGAGCAACGTCCAAGTTCGACACATTTGTCAGAATCGAGACGCGACAACAGAGCGTACACGGAACGAACATCGATCATGTCGTCTGACGTCGCTGGCTTACCTCGCAGATACAGATCGTTCAGTTCGGCGATATCGTTGGTGCTCGGTTGCATATCGGCCACTTGATTCCACAGCGAGTCCATATCTTCGATGGTCGGCGTGGTCGGCGTGGTCGCATTTGACGACAGCGATTTGCAATTGTCGCGCGAACGCGTGCTCCCGTTATCCTCCTCGCGCTCAGAGGCCTCATCGTTGTCCGCCTCATCCTCCTCGCGCTCGGACGCCTCGTCGTTATCCTCCTCGCGCTCGGACGCCTCGTCGTCGATGAACGAGGAAACATGTCGCACCGGGGAGTCGTCGTTGCATCGTTCTCGTTTTCGCCGCTCTCTGTCGACCAATGCTCGATTATTTTCACCATCGCGAAACTGGCGCTTTCGCGCGATCCGCTGTTCGGACGTGCCACCATCACTACTGGCGACCATGTTTCTCGACGTTGTCGCATCGCCGTTGTTGTTCCTGTTCGTTGAGGCGCGACCGTGCTGTCGTCTCTTGTCGTACGAGGCGCGCTGCTTTCTCACAACCGGCGAGAACTCGCTCGTTGCATCGTCGAGTTGCAGATTGCCCATTATCGCGCCGTTTGCCCAATCGGTCTCGATACTGCTCATATCGTCGGATTCTTCGAGCGTGTGCGTTTGACGTGTCACTGGTCGACGCTGAGGAGAGAATCGTCGATTAATGCTCGCAAACTGCGAATGACCAGCTTCACGTTTCAGAGCCTGATTTTATAATGCGCCAAAAGTGAATCGCTTCTCGATTTTTGCACCTCGCGTTCAACACTATAAGGTGCTGCGTATCGAGTGGGGGTGCGTATCGCGTGACACAGTGATCTTTTTTCGGTCGTCTGTCAGCTCGGAGTTGCGCCGCTCAATCGACAGAGATGCAATCTGGACGTCACGATGCCGTCTCACGAATGGAAGAATATGGCGATCGTGTTTGTGATCGTGGTGGTGCTGATTGTCATTATAGCGTTCTGGATGAGCAGTAACAATAACGCCGGCGGCGGTAACAGCTTCGGTAGCAGCGGTAACGGCAGTAGCAGTGGTCAGAACGGGAGTTTCGGTAGTTCCAGCGGCGGCGGCGGCGGAACGGGCGGTGGCTCGAACAATGGAAATCGCGGCAATAATTCACCACCGCCCGGTGGAAACACTGGAGGCGGTGGTAACGCGGCCGCTGCTGCTACCGCACCATACTCCTACTGATTGTCTCGATCGAAAATTTTATTAAATTTGTGCTCATTGCATCCTTGCACTTTTTTGTCCTCATAGTCAACAAATTGCGATCCGGACGAGGCGACGCGGCGACTAACGGCGGAACGGGTGGATCGAGCGGTAGCGGTAGCGGTGCGAGAGATCGACATCACTCGACAACGGAGAACAATAGATCGTAAAAAACGATACGACACTTTTGTTAATGGTTACCATCAGGACCACCTTCCCCCCGCCACCATATTGTGACGATTAGTAAGAGGCTTTTTCCCCCTGCTAAGAGTTGTGCCATCGAGTGCTTTTTCTCACGGTAACCAAATAAAAAAAAAACAATTACGCGAGTACAATGGCCGAGCGCGAACGACAGCGCGAACGTTTGCAAGTGCGTTTCGATGAGGGTCGTCCCACGCACGACACGTTCGAGGCGATGGACGACGTGGAGCTGCTTTCGAGCACCACGTCGGATCCTGCCGCACCGAGCGGATCGTTGCAAGACGGATTGGCTCGAACCGACGAATTCGTAGCGCCCGTCTGGTTGAGTCGCTATCTGCCGATCCTGTGGTCGAACGTAGACGCGTGCAAAAAGAACGCTAAATGTCTCGGCATGAGCTGCTGTTTGTTCGCACCGTTGAAATATTGTCACGATTCGATCAACGTGATAAACGGATTCTGTTAGTATCACCTGTGCGCCATATTCAATCTAACGTATCAAAACGCTTCGTATTACGTGCTCAACGAAGAGGGAAAAGCGGTACTCTGGGTCAAACCGTGCTGCTGCAACTCCGAGCCGAGACCGGTGGACGATCGCATGACCGCGTGCTTCCCGTTCTTCGAGCTGTTTGAGCGCGAACCTAACGTTATGGACATTATGCTGTCGAATTTCGAACGACATCTCATCTCGTACGGAGTCAACAATTGGGAGACTGTGTACACGCAACACGTCAATTATCTGCATCGTCTGATCACCATTCATTCGAGTTTCACGCAGCAATTGCGACCGTCGCGCGACGATCAATTGCTGGACAATCAATTGATTATGCACTGGAACGTGTGGAATGAGTATTACAGCTGAATCTTGCGCGAAACTCCGGCCGATTTGTACATCTTTCACGTGTCCGATCGTACTCGCGAGGTTCAGGGCGTGCCGGTCTCCACGCTCACGCAGATGATTGTGCGACTGTTCAGCGAGTCGTACACCAGATTGAACGAGAATCGCTTTCTCTCCGGGCCGTCATCGTACGGTGTGTTTCTGCGCGGTCACTTTACGTACAGTGAAAATCTGTGCGCGTTCGGCACCAAATCGTCCAATCAAGTCGGTGTGTTCGACTCGATGGCGACATAGCCGATTCTCTATACCGATCCGTGCAAACGGCAATTGATACAACACGATACGCATCAGACGCCAAAGGACGGTTATTGCATCAGTACCGAAGTCGACCGGGACAACACCGCGCTGAATAGAGCCGTGCTCGTGTCGTCATCCTCTTACACGGGCGGTGGCGGGGGCTCTAACGATACATCCGCCGCGATTATCACCAAGTGATAATATCGATCATATCGTACGCGTTGTTATCTGTGCTAAAAGGTGAAGTAGAAGGAGGGGAGAGACAGATTAACGTTCGCGCGAATATAAACGCACGAGATTGGGGGCTTGTCGTCTAGGTGAATACGATTCTTTCGCGTGTCCATTTGTTCGAGAAGAAACGACGAGAGACAAAGTGTCCGCAATGTCGCGAGAAACGCGCACCGTATCCAGTTGCGTGTTGACTGAGATATCGCATCATTGTATGGTTCGTACGGCCAAACAGGTGCAGTGCATGTACTGTACTCGCAAACGCACGGTGAGAGAGTTGTTGTTCGAGGCGATGTTGTACATCAGTGAGAAGGATCTATCGGCGTGCGATTACAAACCGTGCGCCATGGGCCGACCGGAGGACGCGTTCGAATTGATAACGGCGCCGATGGCGAACGCCACTACGTACTGCAATCGTCGCGAGGCTCAATTGCGCTATCCTTGGGCGATGGAGCAACACTGCGAGTTGCGGACATTTGTGCTGCATAATCGCGACGAGTACGACATCGACAGAGCCACGAGACGCGATTGTCGAGCGAACGAGACGCTCGCGTCGCGTGAATTGTGCGAGATTACGCGCGAATTGCTCATTGCGATCATCGACATATTCGACCGTCAAGTGGACAATAACGAGGACACTCGCAGTCGTCACCGATCGAGGGTGAATCTGTCGAGTCGACACTGGCGTGATATTGTGCATTGGCTCATGCGAATTCTACCGTTTATGTGCGACACGTTTACGCTGGTTCCCATATACCGCGAGAGCGAGTACATGGAACGAACAATTTCGCTGCATCCGTGCAATTGGCTAAACGGTCGACTCATTGCCACGGAGAACGTTGCTTCGACGCTCAGCGAGGACAATTGCACGCTGTGCTCGATTCGTTGCGTATTGAACACAGTCGTACCGGCACTATTGAGAGATCTGAGAAACTGGTGCAACGGCGAAGTGTCGTCGCAGCTGGACAACGCGACAGCGGTCACGCCGTTTCTCGTGAAGCACACGATACTCGAGCGATTACTCGCCGGTTGTCGGGACTGTTGCGACCCCGACACGTGCTGTCATTTGGAATCGCACCGAGTCGACGCGCCAGCTCTGAAAATTGTCGTCATCGTCAGCGACACTACATCGACACCTTCTTCCGCCGGTGGAGCGACGCCGTCGCAAGGCGCGACTACGACGACGGGAGGATCGTTCGACTCGCAGATCACCATCGCCGAGTCGTTGCTGCGTGTTCTGCTGCAAGTGTGCGAACGATTGCGCGCCGATCAATTGGACTCTGATATTGTGGCGCCGGTGTGTCAACATTGGGAACATGTATGGTATTGGTTGACGCACATTTTACCGTTGATATGTTGGCGCTTTTCGTTGAGCGTACGAAAAGTCGCTAGCGAATCGACAGACGGGGCGATGATAAAATAAACAACCGATCTATTGCTCATTATGTACGATTTATTGTTTGCTCCCGTTTCAATCCCACTAAAAAAACAACACAAAGCCTATTCCAAGCGCCAATGCTCGGCATCGGAGCTACGATCGTCGAATATCGATTGCTCGTTAGTATGCTGCATGGGTCGCCATTGTTCGTCGCCGTTGATGGCTGTCGCCGCGAGTTCAATATCGTTCAGATATTCATCGACGTCACGATCGTCCGTGATGATCTCGTTCGGCTGGCGATACTCGTCGTTCCCGTAGTCCGAATCGTCACCGGTCGCGCCGGATCTGTTGCGCGTAGCGCTTCGACGCGAATCTAATTCGACCGGATCATTACGCGCACGTTTTTCGCGTTTGCGTCGAGAAGCGCACTGGGCGACGTTTCGTCGGTGCGTCCGACTACGTTTGTTCGGACGCGCCATTGTCGTCGAGGCGATGTACGATAACGCGTTATCATCGTCAACGAGGTCAGCTGCTGCTGACACGCCGTCCTTATTCGACGTGAACGCGTCGTGCGATGTCGATGCTATCACGGCCGTATCCTCATAGCGATTGCTCGCAGCATCAGCGGCATCGGCGGCACGCGTCTTGTCGCGCGATTCGACATCGGGCTGCTCCAAGGTAGCGGCAGCATCGGCGGCACGCGTCTCGTCGCGCGATTCGACATCGGGCTGCTCCAAGGTAGCGGCAGCATCAGCAGCATCGGCGGCACGAGTCTCATCGCGCGATTCGACATCGGGCTGCTCCAAGGTAGCGGCAGCATCAGCGACATCGGCGGCACGCGTCTCGTCGCGCGATTCGACATCGGGCTACTCCAAGGTAGCGGCAGCATCGGCGGCACGAGTCTCGTCGCGCGATGGCGATTGTAGCGATCGATTGCGCACAAACATGTTCACGTAGATGTCGACGATGGTGGTGTCTGTCGACTCGTACGTCGGTGTCTCGCGAAACAATCGCGAATCTTTACCCACGTATTCGCGAAGCGCCTCCAGCACCACCGAACGGAGCAGTCGAAAGTACGGATTTTCGCAGGCCGTACCGTTGACGCTCGAATCGTACGATTCGCGATTCCACTCGATATCGTTGAAAACGTCCTCCATGGTGATGGATACGGCGCGAACTCCTCGATCTAGCGGAATGAGTTTCGAGGCCGTCGACGCCATTACTCCGGTGCCCAACTGAATGACGTCCTTGTAGAATGTGAGTCTCGTCAGAGATAGCACGTACACCATGTTGAACACCATGCTCATCTCGCAACACACACGACGATCGCCATCGCGCAGTAGCGTCTTGTACATATCGCGCAACACGGTGGGTATGCGCTTGTCGTGACAGCGCAGCATGTCGAGCGACGCGGTCTGAATGTAGCGCACTACGTTCAAAACCGGTGATTTTCCGGAGGCGTACGGATTGGTCAGATTCAACAAATTGCGCGCCATTTCGATACTCGATCGTTGTGCGGTGGCCTTGTTATCGCGCATAGAAAACGCACGCTAGATTGTGCAGATGCTCCATAATGTTGCCGCTCATTGTACCGCCGCGCTGAATGTTTTATCGCGACACCTTTTTTTACTAACCACGGGGATAACGATTGCGCGAATTCTATCCTATCCTCTCGATCTATCGCGCGCCGAATACTCGATCGAGAACAAAATCGATTTGCCTGCGAAAACGATCAGCTGTATTAAGGGGGGCGACGGTACGATAGAGACGCGCATCATCGTCGACAATAGCACTGCATTTCACCGATAAATCGTCTTACTAATTTAACCTGTATTTACGAAAAGTGCGCCGGTCCGCAACATAAACTGGCTGTCGCGGCGCGCAATGAGCGACGCGACCGCTCGGTCGTCCGATGCAAACGAATCGGTATGTTTCGTCGCTAGATCGATCTACGGGCGCGACAGCAGCGACGGCGTATCGATGCGACATCGCGTTCGAGACAAACGCGGCCGACCAAAGACTTACGTAGCAGCGCGACGTTTC